GGGGGGGCAGCAGGGCAAACCGGGCGACTGAGTGGCGGGCCTAATGGCGCGAGGCAGGGCGCATGTGCAGCAGAAGGGGAGGGGCGTACGCTCGCGAGCGCCGTGCGCAAGGCGACGAGGCCGGCCGGCACGCTGAGCGCGGTCAGCCGAGAAGCCGACAGGACCAGGCCCAGCAGGCCGGCCAGCAGGTGCAGCGCGGGATTCGTGTTGCCGGTGCGAGGGGCCTGTGGCGGGGGTCAGGATGCGTGTGCGCGCTCGCGCGGCACCAGGCCGGCCGAGAGGGCGCGGCGGTCGGGGCAAAAGAGCAGGGGCAAGCGCGGGTGGGCAGGCGTACAGCCGAGCGGATGAACGGGTTGACACCCGTGCCGGGGTCCTGGGGCGAGCGGCAGGGAGACGCGGGTCAGAGGGGCACAGGGGGGGGGGGGGGCACGCCCGGGTGTGTAGCATGGCATGCGGGGAGGGTGGAAAAGGAGGGGAGGGGGGCGCCCGGGCGCACCGTGAAGCGGGAGAACTTCTCCATGGGAGCCCAGGTCCGGAGCGAGATGCGTCGCAAGAGGGGGCCAGGAGGTGTGTGCGGGACGGGAGGGGCTGGCTGTCAAGATCTCCGAGCGAGTCCCGGCCTCGCCGGCGCGGCCGCGGGGGCCTTTCAGCGTGTGTGTGCATTATGTGTGCGTGTGTGCGCGGCTCCCGGCCGGGGGCGCATCTTCCGCTCCCGCCCCTGCCCGGGTCCCCCCCCTCCCCTCCTGGCCAAGCGAAGGGGGCGCCCCATTGGCGGCCGTACGCGCGCCGTCCCTCGCCCCACCTCGGAAAAGGGCCTGGCCCTGCAGGGCGCGCCCCCTCGCTCGGGGAGGGCGCCAGGAGCGGAGTGGTCTCTGTTCGACCGCGCCCCCCGCCCTGCAGAGCCAGCCCCCGGCGAGAGGACGTCGTCTCTGTTGGTGGGCGCGCGCGCGCGCGCCCCGGGGCGCCGGCAACTAGATCGCATTGGGGCCGGAGCAAGTGCGAGATCACGCCGGTGTCACGCGCGCAATGCCCGGTGCGCCGGCACTCGGCCATGCACCCTGCCTCTCGTTCTCGCCTCGCTCTCTCTCTCTCTCTCTCTCTCGCTTGTCCTTTGAACGCGCAAGCTTCGGGCGTCGCCGGGGCGGAGTCGATTGTTCTGGCAAACACCCCTGTCTCCTTTCCCCCACACGCCCCCCGGGGGGGCGAGGGCGAGGGCCGGCGCAGGCAGCGCCCTCTCCTGGGCTGGCCCGACTTGTTGTTGGTTGCCGCGCGGGCAGCGGCATGGCTTCGACGCCCGGGGCGGGGGCGATAGGCCCCCCACCTCCGGACTGGCCACCGCCCGGGGACGGGGGGGGGGGGGGGGGGAGGGGCACATGCAAGGGGGTGCACAGCGATGCGGTGGCATCCGAATGGGGGCATGTGTGCGTGTGTGGA